ACATAGGATGTAAAAATAGGGTAGAATGGGGGTGGGTGAAATCAGACTTATAAAAACCCCTATCTGTAGACACGACAACTATAACATCTGTATCTCTCACTTCTTCTGAAGAGATGAATGGTATAGATCATTCTGATAATTTCTCATTTTCCATACAGGTAGTCCACAACTCACAAGTGTAATGGAGCCAGAAGTCCACTGTTAACTCATGACCATCACAAGTCAAGGCACTCACATGACTGGACCTGACTTTATGACTTTTTTTGCAGCAGCCATTAAATGAGTGCCAGGCCATTAAGTGAACATTGTAGTTGTTAAGTGAATCAACATATTCCCTATGGATTTATTTTTTTTGCCAAAAATGTGCCATAAATGGTCACATGAGCATGGAACTCTGCAGGTAGCTATAAAGGTGAGCTGTTGGCCAAGTGCTCTGGAGCCAGGGTCGGATCACTAACTGATAGGTTGTTAAATGAGACCTATCTGTATATGTTTGATCTTACATAGGGAGGTTGGGTATGTACCGTAGATCAGTGGTCGCCAACCAGTGGGCCGGGGACCACTGGTGGTCCTTAAGAAAATTTTGGTGGTCCGCACAGAAATGTTAACCCCAAAGCACCTCCCAAAGCAATTAATCCAGGCTGTGCAGCAACACAACGCTGCCCTGCCCACGTGGCCCGTGGGAACACTTGTGTTGCTTGTATTGTGAACAACACAAGGTAGTGAGGGGAGGGAGGAAAGGGCAGAGTGGGGAACTTGCCCCCCACGCCTGGCTTGGCCACCAGGCTGCTTCTTTCCACTCTTTTCTTCTGCTTTTGGCTGCACACAAGGAAAGCAACAACAGTCTTTCTTTTTCTCCCCCAAACTCCACCAGAAATGAGTCTTTGGGACCCTGCAAAGCCTCCTGCTCCAAGAGGCTGCGTCGGTGTGACAAGTCTCACAAAGATTCATTTCTGGCGGAGTTTGGGGGAGAGAAAGAAAGACTTCTGCTGCTTCTGCAGCTTTTCTTGCATGAAGCCAAAAGATTGAGTCTCTCTCTCTCTCTCCCTCCCTCCCTCCCTCCCCCTTAGAACAGAGCTGTAGATGGTATCCTGTGATCTCAAATAAAGAATGATCGATTGGTAGGAAAATGGAGTGGGGAACTTTCCTGCAGACTTTTTTGGGGATTTTCCCAGGGTCTCTGGTCCATGGGATTTAAAATTATGAGTTTGGTGGTCCCGGGGGTACAAAAGGTTGGTGACCCCTGCCGTAGATTGCTCAGGGTGATTGGGGGCATTTAAGCCTATTAAACAAATAACCAAACATCTACAGGCCAATTTAACTAGTAAAGAGCAAATGTGATAAGAAACTGATGAACCCGAATTAATGAAACAGAATTCTTGCCACCTTAAATATAGCTAGGAGGGTATATAGTCCTCGACATGACCACAATTGAACCCAAAATTTCTGTTGTGGGACATCTGTGAGCTTTGCACTGTTTTATTACTTTTCTTGCCACAGTTGTTAAGTGAATTACTTGCAGTTCATAAATTAGTAACCCGGTTGTTCAGTGAATCTGGCTTCCCCACTGACTTTGCTTGTCAGAAGGTTGTAAAAGGGGATCGCATGGCTTCGGGGCACAGCAACCGTCATAAATATGGACCAGTTGCCAAGCTTCTGAATTTTGATCATGCAGCCCATGGGGATACTGCAATGGTTGTAACTGTGAAAAACAGTCGTAATTCACGTTTTTCAGTACCATTGTAACTTTGAACGGTCACTAAATGAACTGCTGTAAATTGAGGATTACCTGTACAACTCCCAGGATAGTTCAGATTATGGAGAATTCTCTGACAGAAACCTCCGGAGTGCCACCTATTTGCCGTGGTTAACACTCAAGTTTGTTATGTTCCTCTGCATTGGGCAGCTGTTTCGGCCACAGTGGGCACTAATTCAGTTCATGCAGAAAAGCAAGGAGTCTGATATCTGTGGGGATTCTCAGTCATCCAGGGCCATAGTTGTCCCCAAGGTACTTCCCCACCATCCAGTCAGAACTGAAGAAGGTTCTTGGATGAGAAACGAAACACCTTCAAAGAAGAACGTCCAGTTGTCTCTTGAAAAAAGCACCTTTGGGACGAGTGTGATGCAAAAAGCTTTTTAATGGTTACTGACTCAGATCTCCAGGCTGGTTTCGCATTCAGATTCGTTTCAAGATGGTGCATGCCTTTCTGTACGGTTTCCCTCTGCTCTTCAGAGCCATTTGTGACTCAAGACCACAAAAGAACACAAGGGATGTTTTGGGGTGGCAGTTTATCTGTGTCTTTGTTCCAGGCAACTGTCTTTATTCTTTACTGTTACTGCAAGGTGTTCAGAGCAACTAATCATATTAACATTTATTCTAACAGTAAAACATAAGAATAAACACGATTAAAGCCTTGGCAGTGCAACCAATGGAACGATGCATTTGGCATCAGAGGGTGCGGTTCTGTCGTCCTTCAAAGGACATCTGAGGAATATTGGCATCTTCCATAAACAGAGATCTTCACGCGCATCCCTTCCTATGTGGTGGTGGACCAATCGCACAAATCAGCCATGAGGCCCAAAAGCAGAAAGTTAGAGAAATCACGAGCATACAACAGTTTCCCTTCAAATGGTGCCTGTTGTGGGTGAATAGTTTTTGCATACAAACTTTCCCAGTGTGATATGTTTTTTTTTTTTTACTGTTGTTTTTTTAAACCATGATTGCCTTTTCAGGTAGACACTTCTGTAACATGCATGCTTTTAAGAACTGCAGTTCACTCCTTTGAACTATAAAGGTTAAAGAATTGGAAATTTAGAACATAGTTCTGGTCCCTTGCTGCAGAAATGCAAAATTAGATAAATTAACATTCATACCTTCTGTCCTTAGGAACAGACAGTTCTAAAATATTCTTATTCCACCTCAGACGAGGAAAATATAAGGTTTTAATTAGAAACCACAAAGGCCCTGGAGTTGGACCTGATCAGCCACTGTGGAGAACAATCTGTAACCAAGGTACAGGAGAAAATGCAAATGTTGTGGTCGTTACCAGCCTTATTCTGAACACACACACACACACACACACACACACACACACAGGTACTGGTTCCTTCCTTTTATGCCAGCCAACATTTGAGCAGTAGACAATCAATCAATCTCTCTCTCTCCCACCCACTCCCTCTTGTAGAAAAATCATGAGTGTACATAGAAGTTTAGAATGCTTTAAAAAAAAAAGGGATGACAGGTAATGCAATCCTCAATTTATGACCACAACTGAGACCAAAATTTATATTGCTAAGTGAAAAAATTTGTTAAGTGAGTTTTGCCCCATTTTATGACATTTCTTGCCACATTTGTTAAGTGAATCACTGCATCTTTTAAGCTAATAACACGGTTGTTAAGTGAATCTGGCTTCTCCATTGACTGTGCTTGTCAGAAGGTCGCAAAAAATGATCACATGACCCTGGGACACTGCCACCGTCAGCACTTGAACTTGATCTGCAACGGTTGCAAGTGTGAAAAATGGTCATAAGTCACTTTTCGCAGTGCCGTTGTAACTTCGAACAGTCACTAACTGTTGTGAGTAGAGGACTACCTGTAGTCCTAGACTTAAGACCGTAATGGACCCGATTTTAGGATACTTTTTTTGTCGTAGTTGTAAAGCAAACGCAGAGGTGGATAAGTTTGCTACATTTTGGTTTTTAGCTAAAATGTTCTAAAACGCAGTGATGTGGGCCATGGGATATTGCAAATGGCCGCTGGAGCGGGCCTGTGGCTGAGCACACCCCAAATATGGTGACGCAAACCATAGAGGGGAAGAAGGCGGCTGTCAGAATTTTGGAATTAAGTCGTCAGGACCTCCATGGAGGTCCATCATGACTTCGCATGGTCACTAACTCCTCATAAGTCAAGGACTGTTCATAAGACAAGAAGTACCTATAATTAATGTAAACCGTTACAGATAGTTCTCAACTTACAGCCATGCATTTAGTGACCATTCGAAGTTACAATGGCACTGAAAAAAGTGCAGCGTGTCTATTTTTCACACTTACAACCATTGCAGCCTCCCTATGGTCACATGATCAAAATCCAGTTGCTTGGCAACCATGTCCCAGTGTCATCCCTTTTTGCGGCCTTCTGACAAGCAAATTCAGTGGGGAAGCCATTTAACAACCCTGTTACTAACTGAAGTGATTTAGTTAACAAGTGGCAAGAAAGGTCGCAAAATGGAGCAAAACACACTTAACTATTTCATTAGTAACAGAAATTTTGGGCTCAATCGTGGTCATAAATCGAGGACTATTGTTATTGGTTTCCTTGTTGTTTTTAATGGTCTTTATGATGTACCATTTTTTTCCAAGGAACACACCTCTACTTCCAAAATTTTGGTTTCCTTTCACCTCAGCCTTTAAATACTTGCCCCAGTCACCAGATTGACAATGATTTAGAAGTGTTGTTGATTTTTTTCCGGTGAGATAAGTCTTTCAGGCAACCCGGTCTACCCAATTATGGGATGGAGCATACTGCTTCCACTTTTGCCTTTCAGCCCCAATCCAGGAGCCTTCGTAGGCAGTTGCTTTCGTGATAAACTATTTTTGTGTTGAATTTTATGTTTACCTGCAAAGGAATAAAGGGAGACTAGTATAGATCTATTTCAAACTACTTAGCTCTCATCAATCAGCTTTGTTGTTGTTAGTCGTGAAGTCGTGTCCGACCCATCGTGACCCCTTGGACAATGTTCCTCCAGGCCTTCCTGTGTCCTCTACCATCTTCTGGAATCCATTTAAGCTCACGCCGACTGCTTCAGTGACTCCATCCATCCACCTCATTCTCTGCCGTCCCCTTCTTCTTCTATTGCCCTCAATCGTTCCCAGCATTGAATCCAGTGAATCCTTCCTTCTCATTAGGTGGCTAAAGTATTTGAGTTTCATCTTCAGCATTTGGTTTACCCTTAAGCTGATGAGAGCTAAATAGCTTGAAATAGATCTATACTAATCCCCCTTTTATTTCTTTGTGGGTAAACATAAATTCAACTGGGTAAACATAAATTCATCTAGAACTTTTTCAAGACCCATTTTCCATTCTCTTCCCTTGCTCCTAAGTAGGGGAGTCTCATGGAACAAAGTTTGTTTTCATATCAAAGCATTTTTTGGGTATGTTTTGAAGTAGAAGATATAGCTGATCAGCCATCAGGTAAGCTACCTTTGAACCTTGGACTCAATTAAACCAAGTGCTGAGAACTACAGGTAACATGGCTATTCTTTCGGAAGAAATTATTGATGTCTGGCAGAGTTACGTGCGGCTGGATTGCCCAGGATCGCTCGCTGTGGCTCCAGAGAGGGCTAGTGCTGCTGGGGCTGGCGCTCTCTCTCTGGAGGTCCTCAGTGGAACCGTAGCTGTCGGGTCCTGCAGGAGAAACATCCAGAAACCAATCATTCGAACGCTGAATCCAAAGTGGGACGGTAGCTGACGGCCTTGAGAGGACATCTGGTTGTCTATTATTGTGTGGGGGCTCAATCCACAGTGTCCCTCCTTGCCTCCACACAGTCGGCACAGCTCCTGTTTCCTGGGGCAGGGACCCCCGGAAAACCCGTTCACAGAGGACAGCTGAGACCACGATGAACACAGCTGCGACGGTCGCCAGGCTTACCATGATCAGCAAGCAGTTACCACAATCGCTTAGCGGGGAGGCAGTGGAAGGAGGCAGCATCTCAACATTCGTTGGGGGCCCCAACATGACAGCAAACGGACAAGAACCAAGCCAGATCAAAACGGCTGCATCTAGAGCCAATATTACTTTTCTTAGAAAAAAAAAAGCTGGATGGAGAGGAAAATGGGAGGAAACGGGTCAGAGAACTTATGAAAGAGTTAGCAATCTTTGACGCAACTGAGGGATGTGAGAGTGTTGTGCAAACTTAGCCTAACAACTCAAGAACAGCTCATAATTGGCAGCCCAACAAAACTCTTTTAAGTGCAATGGCTTATATCAGTACTAACTTGATGCTCTCCAGATGTGTAGGATAAGCTCTCCAAATACTCAGCTGTTATAATTATCATCAGCTAGAAATTCTGTGAATTGTAGCCTAAAGACATTTGAAAGACACATGACTGAAAAAGGCTAGAATACAAGAACTCTGCCTTGCAAATCCCAATCCTTTGTACAGTTCTTCGAAGCCCTGATTGTATCTTCTCCCGGGACAGTTTTCTCCTGTCTGTACTATTTCAATATTAGGGCTGTGTATTACTTTGGATATATATACCAAATATAGCACATGTCTGCAACTCTTTAAAGCAACCGTATCTTTTCCTGGGATGTCATATCAGCTGCAGAGGGCAGTTGTAAGATCCCAGAAGACATGGCTGCTTTAAAGAATTACAGACAAGCACTATATTTGTGGCTACAAATGTTCTCCAAAGTACTTTTTCAAATTAACTCAAGTTGCTACATAGCTATTACTCTTCAGCAGGAATATATAGGCCAAAATATCTGAATAGAAGGTTGAAGAAGGTTGTTGTATCTTTTACTTTTAGGTCAGGGATCTTCAAACTTGACAGCTTTAAGACTTGTGGACTTCAGCTCCCAGAATTCTTCCTCCAGTCATGTTAGCTCAGGAATTCTGGGAGTTGAAGTCCACAAGTCTTAAACTTGCCAAGTTGAAGACCCTTGCTTTAGGTCCAAATTTGCCATGGTAGCATTAAAAAAACTGAAGAATAATTAGGAAGGCCCATCCTCAAATAGCCTCCAACAAAGTAGATTGCCCTTAATTTATCAAACAAGGCTAAATGGAGAGTTTTTCAAAAGAAAGATGGGATTAGTCACCATAACAACACAAGTCCAAAAGAACAGCATTTAAGGCAGGGTCTAAAGCTAGCCGTCTCTCTTTTCTTCTCTGTAAAGTTATACTACTTTCCCTTCAGATGATAGCTGAGAAGTCTGAAGCTGTAATCCCAGCCCAACATAGGATACCAGGGAAGAAATGTGAGGTTTGCTTTCAGCTCAGAGGCATAGGAGAGGGGGCTTAAGGGACCGGGAGGGACGGGTGGAAGAAAGGGAGGCAAAAAGAGAAGTTGTAACAAAGGGAGGAAAAACAAATTCTAACCTCAGATGTTGGAAATTGTGCTGGATATCTGTCTTCAGTATTCAAGCATATTGGCCTCCAAAGAGCGTCATACCCTTGATTTGCCTTTGACAACAGTGGAGGAAAGGATGTGGGATACACAGCAAGTCACATCACTTCCTGGGCGCACCCATTCTGAGTTGTCGGCTGAGAGCAAAGCACTTCCTCCTATCAGACTTAGTTTTAACTCAGGTGACAGCTTTTCCACTGCTCAGCAGTGAGAACAGCTGATCCCACCCAAAGGGAAAAAAGTCACAGAGACAAACCAAATCCACTACAGGAGAAAAATATACAGCATAAATTTAATTCAGCTACTATGGAGCACAATTAAATTAAGGAAGGGGGTTATTACAGCCAAAGACAGTTCAAGTTTCCAGGTTATTGGTTCTATGTTATTGGTGCTTTGCCCCTCCCCCCCCCATGCGTTTTTTCCCCCCAGACACAAGGAAGAAATATATGCACACATTCGGGATTTAAACTAGTATATAAACTGCTCTGATCATAAATTAATAATGGGTCATTGACAAAAAGAGATGAAACACCAGCCAAGTAAAGAAATAATCAACCACCAACAAAATAAAAATACAAAATTAATAACACAAATATCCCAAACACATGCACACGTGACACCCACTAGGAGAAAAGAGGTAGATTTTTTGAAGGAGGTGGTAGTGAAATTAATGGAGGAATACATTGAATCAAGGAAGGAGGTTGAGCTGGCTGCAGGCAGGAAAGATAAGAGGGATGAGGGTGAACATAACAAGCATTCCACATCCATCATCAAGGCCAAAACCTCAATTTTTCTGAAAACGCCATGTATTTTTTAAAGAAAAGAAGCACTTTCTGAAAATACAGCAGAAATGCGTCAGGGCCTCCAACTACTTAGAAGGTGTCCATGCTGGGAACAAGGGAAAACCTGGAAAGCAGGTAGGCCAAAAGTACACACCAAAGAAATATTTAGCATCTTATCCCAAATACGTTGTGTGGGGTTTTTTTTTTTAACCTGTGTAAGACAGGTTTAAGGACACCACATGGTTTCCCAGCAGCTCCCGGAGACCAAAGACAAGGACTCAAAAATGCAGTCCCTGGTTGCAAGAAATGTGGTAGATTTGGAAAATTGAGCCTTATTTATTTCTACCGCCAATCGCTATTTAAGAAATCTTTCAAGGGGAAGGGGATTTGGGGGGAAAACCTCATCTATCCTTAGTCTAAGGCAGTGTTTCTTAACCTTGTTCACTTTAAAATGGTTGGAATTCAACTGTCAGAATTCCTTAGCCAGCCATGCTAAGTAGACACGGCTGAGAAACACAGAGTCTTTGTGTAGGGGGGAGATTCTTTGAAACAGAAAGAACAGGCACCTCTCATTTCAAGAATAAGCTTCTTTTCATTCCAACCTGGCCACCCCTTTTTCGGAGGAAGCCAGATAGGACCCCATATGTATAAGGAGAGGAAAATATTGGTGCAGAGCCGGGGAGGAAGGGAAAGAATTCACAAAGACAATGCCTACAACCCAAAGTTTTCCAGTGCAGTACAGGAACACAGGAAAGGAAAACACATCCACCAGTGGTGGTGGTAGGGAATCCCTTCCCCAATTTGTCCACTTCCAAATATCAGTAATAATGACCCAGACATTTCTCTCCCTCCCTCTTTCCCAAATGCATCTGTCTGTGAGTCAAAATATTCAAGAGTGCAAGGTGAAGAGCAGCGCCTCTGCCTCCTTTTCCTCTCTCAGCTGCCAGCAGCAATGCCAACCCCCTTGCGTCTTCTGTCCATCTACTGCTGTCTTTCTTTTCTTCTTCCGTCATGGCCATCCAAGAAGCAGCTTCATCTCTCTTCTTTTTTGGACACCTTGGAAGAATGCCATGCGGTGGAGCTGCCGGGGGGGGGGGGGGGGAGAAATATGACAGGCAAGTTCTCAACTTACGACCACAACCGAGCCCCAAATTTCTGCTGTTAAGTGAGACATTTGTTAAGTGAGTTCCGCCCCGTTTTACGACCTTTCTTGCCGCAGTTGTTTACGTGAATCATTGCAGTTGATAAGTTACTAAGCCGGTTGCTGAGTAAAACTGGGTTCCCCATTTGTTAAAAAGTCGCAAAAGGCAATCCCATCACCTTGGGACACAGCAAGGGTCATAAATATGAACTAGTTGCCAAGCATCTGAATTTAGAATAGGATAGAATAAAATAACAGAGTTGTAAGGGACCTTGGAGGTCTTCTAGTCCAACCCCCTACTTAGGCAGGAAACCCTATACTACTTAAGAGAAATGGTTTGTCCAGTCTCTTCTTAGAAACTTCCAGTGTTGGAGCATTCACAACTTCTGGAGGCAAGTTGTTCCACTGGTTAATTGTTCTAACTGTCAGGAAATTCCTCCTTAGTTCTGGGTTGCACCTTGATTCGTTTCCACCCACTGCTTCTTGTCCTGCCCTCAGGGGCTTTGGAGAATAGCTTGACTCCCTCTTCTTTGTGGGCAGCCCCTGAGATATTGGAACACTGCTCTATCATGTCACCCCTAGTCCTTTTTCTCATTAAACTAGACATACCCACTTCCTGCAACCGTTCTTCATAGGTTTTAGCCTCCAGTCCCCCTGATCATCTTTGTTGCTCTTCTCTACACTCTTTCTAGATTTTGATCACATGCAAAGGCCATAACTGTGAAAAATGGCCATTTTTCAGTACTGTTGTCACTAAACGAACTGTTGTAAGTCAGAACTGCCTGCACTACCTCCTCTCTCTCCTTCTGTAAAGGCAGAACCACAAACTTGCTGGTTTGGGGGACGATACAACGAGCCACCAATTTCAGAGACTTACCGGATGAAGGTTTTGAAGGCAGCTGACTGGGGGTTGATACAAAGGGGGACCCGTTTCCCATGCTGCTGCTCCAAGATAAACCTGTGCACCAGTTCTGAAAAAAAGAGTTCATTTTTATTTGGTCACCATCAGAGCCACAAAAATCCCCTCCCCCCCAAAATCTTTGCAAATCTGCAGCCCTGATTTGTGTAATATATCTCTCTCTTTTCTTCTCCTCTATTTTTCTATGTATTTTCATTCTGCTTCTCCTAACTCAGGCAAGCCAAGGCCATTACAACTATTTGGGATAATAGCAGCAGTGAATCACAACAGAATCACACCTTCGGATAGCTTGCCACCCAAGGGACTTGCCCCGTGTACATTTATAACAGGGGCCCCCAAACTTGGCAACGTTAAGACTTGTGGACTTCACCTCCCAGAATTCCTCAGCCAACTATGCTGGCTGAGGAATTCTGGGAGTTGAAGTCCACAAGTTTTAACATTGTTGAGTTTGGGGACCTCTGACTTCTAACTCCACCTGCAGGTTCGGATAAATCCCTACTACTGCAAAGTCTTCATCACCTCTTTGGAAATCTCTTCCTCCTCCACAATGAATAGAAGCCATTAGTGCTATGTGGTTGCACAGGAGAATTGGGAGATTCAGCGACCCAAATGGGATGTGCTTTTTAGGATGAAGTAACACAAAGCAGTGACTTCTCCATAATTATGTTAAGATGATACCAAAAACACAGAATATGGGAAGAACTGAGACAACCCAAAAAAAATCAGACCAAAGGTTTAAATCCCAAAGTCTGGTGGAATTCATGGAAGAATTATGTGGATTAATTGCCCTCATGTATGTAGGACAATTAAGATCAATATTTAGCTCCTAAATTAGTGACTTAAGAATAGCAGTAGCGCTTAGGCTTCATAGTGCTTTACAGCCCTCTCAAAGCGGTTTACAGGGTCACCATATTACCACCAAAAAAATCTGGGTCCTCAATTTTACCCACCTCAGAAGGATGGAAGGCTAAGTCAACCTTGAGTCGGTCAGGATCAAACTGCTGACAGTAGGCAGAATTAGCCTGCAACATTGCATTCTAACCACCGTGCCACCACTACGTTTATCATGGAGCTTTCTGAACACCCCAAGGTTTGTACTTGATCAATTACCTTTGACCTGCCAGACAGAAGCGAGGTTCTTTTCGTAAGAGCCATCAAATTTGGGGTCGGCCCGGGGTTCAAAGTCACTAGTATAAATGCGGCCGGAGGAGACCGAAAAGCAGCAAGTGCACATACAGGTGTGATATCTCAGTCGCCCCTCATCTAAGTAAGGATGAGAAAGGGCATCCTTGGCAGAGATCCGCTTGGCCTGCGGAAGGAAGGACAGCATCATCCACAAAGTCCCGCTGAGAGAACTCTTGTATACAGGTAGTCCTTGAGTTATGACTGTTATTGGAGCCTTCCAATTACAGACATAAGTCTTAACAGTTGTAAAGTGGGCCACTCACATGACCAGCCTTTACTACTTTTTGTGGCGCTTATTAAGAGAACGCCATGGGCGTTGAGTAAATCCATTGTTCGCTATGGCTTGTCTGTGCCGAAATCAGAAAGCAAGTGTTGTTTTTTGACAAAACCATCCTAACATGCAGTCATGTGACCATTGGAACAATGCAAACAGCGGTAAGTGTAGCCATGTTGCTGGGTGTCCAAAGTGCAGTCACATGACTGTGGTGGCACTGAGGAACCATCAGAACTTCAGATCTGCATCATAAATCCCTTTTTTCTGGTAGGTCATAGCTTTGAACGGTTGCTGAGTTTTAAAGGTTTGTAGAGATTCTTAGACACCCAGGTCATGGTTGTCTTAAAGGTGCCTTTTAAAGAGGCAATTGGACTTTCTTGTTTTTCTTTGAAGATGTTTCACTTCTTCACTTCTGACTGGACAGTGGGGAATGATTTATATTCCTTGCAGACAGCTGGTCATTTGCATCCTTTTAGCCAGTCATTAAGGCCACTTGGAGGTTTATTTGTGTTCTCAGGATCACCCGAGTAACCAAATGGTGTGGGAGTATGAGCACATTTCCAGAAAAAATGCAGACTACATGAACCATTAGCACTACTCAGGTGATCCTGGGGACAGATAATCTCCAAGTAGCCTCAACAACCCTCTAAAAGGATGCAAATGACCAGCTGTCTGCAAGGAACATAAATCTTTATATTCCCCACCATCCAGTTAGAGCTGAAGAAACTTCTTGGATGAGAAGTGAAATGTCTTCAAAGAAAAAATGAGAAAGTCCAGTTGCCGCTTGAAAAAGCACCTTTGGGACCGGTCCCAAGTTGAGGACTATCTGTACAACAGTGTTTTTCAACATGCTGACTGGAGAATTCTGAGAGCTGAAATCCACACCTCTTAAAGTTGCTAATGTTGAGAAACACTGGTTTATAGGTCAACCAGTTATGAAATCTCAACTCAATGCCTGGTTTTGCATAGAAACGCGTCTTTTTCATTGCCCCTTATTCTTATTTCTTATCACCGTTATTCTCATTTCAGTGTATGCTACCCTAAGGCACACAAAATTTGATCATAAATGCGTGAGATGGTCTGAAATTTTTAATACGATCATATCGGCAAATGATTGCTAACTGAGATTGCCACTAAAAGAGGAGTGGATACACAGGTAGTCCTCAATTTATGACCATAATTGAACCCAATATTTCCGTGCCTAGGTGAGACATTTGTTAAGTGAATTTTGCCCCATTTTACTACCTTTTTTGCCACATTTGTTAAGTGAATCAGCTGAAGTTGTTAAGTTGATAGGACTGTTTTTTTTAAGTAAATCTAGCTTCTCCATTAACTTTGTTTGTCAGAAGGTTGCAAAAGGGGATCGCATAACCTTGGGACACTGCAACTGTCATATGTATGAGTCAGTTGCCAACACCTGTATTTTGATCGCAATAGTCCTAAGTTTGAAAAATGGCCATAAGTCACTTTTTTCCAGTACTGTTGCAACCTCAAACGGTCACTAAATGAACTGCTGTTAAGTCGAGGACTACCTACCGTGTTTCTCATATAATAAGGCCGGGTCTTATTTTTTTTTTGAGCCCCGAAAAAATGGCTAGGCCGTCTTTTCGGGGGTGACTTAATTCCCCCCCCCCTTTGCATCTTCGGGCAGGCGGCGACGGCTTGGATGTTGACCTCAGCGTTGGTGGGGCTCTTCGTATCGGGGTCAACGCAGGGAGCACCATATCCATGTGTGCAACAAAAGTACTTCCTAATGGCAAGCCCCCCCACCATTCCCCCCATTTTGCATGTTTTAATATAGGCCTTAATTTGGGGGGAGGGGCTTAATTTCATTTCATGCCTATAAAACATGCTGGGACTTCCTATTGGGGGAGGCCGTATTGTTGGAGAAACAGGGTATGCACTGTTTCTATCATATCTGCATATCTGATGGTTTATCTCTATGTCTTCAATTTATGCTCCTAACAACCGGATCAATAACAGTGAGGTGAATATATGTGTGTGAGAGAAAGAAGAGACAGGGAAAAGAGACAACTTGACTGGGGTCTTAAATTTTTCTTGGACTACATTGCCAACTCACTGGATCAAAGACCAACATCCGGCAGAGCAAATGCACAGCTTCGTGGGTTGCTTCTCCAGAGAGCATGTAAAGGACAGACAACGATGGCTAGAAGAAGAAAAAATCAAAGTGGTTAAGAGGCTTCCTTTGCCCCCACAACTCTTACCTTCCCAGCCTGGGTGGTACTCACCGGCTTGTGACTGCCACGCAGGATATGGGCACGGGCCCCCTCGCAGGCCGAACGGAGAGCAGCCACGGGAGGAGTCCCCAGGAGATCCGTAATCAGGTCCAACTGCCACCCACAGATCGAAGGAAGAAGAGAAGAAGAAGAAATGGAGAGAGAAAGAAAAGAAGAAAGTTAAGTTGCTTTTTCGGTGTCATGTAGTGGACATTTTGTGGAACCACGTGGTGTTCTTTCATGCCTTCTGCAACCACACACTCTCACAAGTCTTTCTTCAAAGCCTGTTGAAATACCTGCTGAATTGGGCTCTGGGACTGAAAGAGGATGCGCCTGCCGAGGAGTTCGGCGAAAATGCAGCCCACGGACCAAATATCAATTGGACGTCCATAATGCCTGCTGCCCATCAGGATTTCAGGAGCCCGGTAATATTGGGTAACCACCTCTTGAGTCATGTGCTGGGACTCATCTGGTTCCTCTACCCGGGCCAAACCAAAATCGCAGATCTGAAAGAAAGATGAAAAGGTGTGGTCAATCCGGTGGAAGCTTCTAGAGAAATAAAACTCCTAGGCCTAGTTTTCTCTACAGTCTGCTGCTCCTTCTGGGAATCAATATTCTTTCAATGCCACTGAATGATATTAATTCAGGTGCATTCTAAAATGGGAGCTGAGTGGGTGGCTCTAGGCTAGTATTTCTCAACCCTGGCAACTTTTAAGATGTGTGGACTTCAACTCCCAGAATTCCCTGGCCGGTATTAGGGAACCTCATGCTTGTGAGGAACCAGAGGGGGGCAGGGAGGAGAGGTAGGGGAAGCAGACCCAAGGTCTATGGGGTTATCAAGGGGTGGAAGCAGACCATAGGGTGTCTCAGAAGATGAGCACGGCCCTACAAGACTGGGGTAGGTGAGCCTGGGCCTGCGCTAGGTTTTCCTAGGCCTATGCTAGGTTTTCTCCCCCACCTGAATGGCCCCCAGTGGCCCATTTAATGACTACCTGAAGGAGATCAGAGGTGGGATCGTTAAGTAAGATCACAAGGTTGCCTCACTTAAATGACCGTCACAACTTAGGATCATAATGGGCAGGTAGTTTTAGGTCAAGGACTACCTATGCATAAATACATGTTTTTATATCTGAAACTGTAGCACATCGCATTAAATTAAATTAAATACAACCCGTTTGATCTCTTCTTGCATGGTTAATAATTTCCTTCTTTTGTCACATCAAAAATAGCAATTTGGTGGCTGCGGCTATATCAGCTGCAAGGCGAAAAGACAGGGAATTATTGAAGGTACGTTGTTAAAATCTGCAGCACGGTGGGCAATGTCACCACTGATGGCTTTGAGCACAACACCACACTTGACATCTTATAGCTTTATCACACCCATACACATATTTATACACCTAGCATCCCTATGCTTAGCATAGTAGTATGATTCATAGTGGCTGGAATGGGAGGGTGTGCAACAAAACGTTTAATCTTTGGCCGTCATAGCTAAAACTGCTGGATGTCAGACTCTCCTTGGAGGTGGCTATCTTGAAAGCTTCCTGGATTGGCTACAAGGATGAATTACCTTGAGGACACAGTTGCTATTGACCAGCAGATTCCCAGGCTTGATGTCCCGATGAAGGACACCAGCAGAGTGCAAATATTTTAGCCCTGCAGAAGTGAGGAGAGGGAAAAAACACACTGGGTGTTCCCAAACTTAATTGAAGTCAACAGACGCAATAAAAATTAAAAGTAAAATTAAACCCTTCCTTCCATTATCAACATATCACAAAGGTGCTTTTTCAAGAGGCAATTGGACTTTCTGTTTTTTCTTGGAAGATGTTTTCGCTTCTCATCCAAGAAGAAACTTCTTGGATGAGAAGCAAAACATCTTCAAGGAAAAACAAAGGAAGTCCAGTTTCCTCTTGAAAAAGCATCTTTAGGACAACTATGACCTGGATGACTGAAAATCTCCAGACGTTTAGCTATGTATTATCAACATGGTTTTCAAAATTAAACTTCTATGTAAGTTCTGTACTATTGCCAAAATGCTGAGCTTAGGGTTAAAATTAACTCTAAATTCATTTCCTTAACTTTTGATAAATGTAGAAGGGACACTCCTTTTCTTTTCTAAGGTATTAGCCTGCTAAATCACATGATTCTGAAACTCTGAAAATAAGCTATTTGTTTCAGAGCTGTTGTTGCCAGTGATCAACTTTCTCTGATTTATTTTATAGAATTGCAACTGTGTCAGAAATGTCAGAAAAGAAGGAAAAAGGGGAGGAAAACTATTAAAGTGAATGAAGTACAACAGGACAGTTAAGAAAGGCAAAGGAAAGAGGCAGGAGAAAAGGGCATAAGAAAGTGGATCAACATGAGAGTAGAAAATGTTAGAGGACATATGGAAGAGATCCTTCACGAGGTACAACAGAAATACAAGTTGTTTGGTCATCTCATCAAACCCCCACTCGATCTCTGCCCCATGGCTCTCCATCCCAATTCAAAGACATGCAACAAGGAAGATCTCAACACTCCTCCAAATACTTCATTTGGCCAACCACTCAACTGTGAAAGCATTAGACAGATAGCATCCTATCAATGAATTGTCTTCTTCATGGGACTTGAAGCCCCTGAGATCCAGTCTCCCCTTTGAGACTATGTAGAATAAATACCCTTTACTCTCTTTGATTCTTCAAAAGACTTATCTTCCATTCCTCCGATTATTCCCATCCTCGCTTTTCAACCCCTTCAATTATTCCTAATCTTGATTAAGTTCTGGCAGCCACAAATTTATCACCAATTGAGCTATGGAATCTTCTAACTTGGAACAGTGATTCTACAATTACCAGCTATGCATCAGCCTGTCAACTCTGTATAGACATTGTCCTACTTGTTCACATTCTTCTTCTGAATTACAATCCCTGTCGTGTTATATGGTTCCCAAACCAGATAGCTCCTCTCTTCTACATGAATATTGAATCTAAATAAAGAACTTTGCCCAAATGGATAGTTCCCAATTTATGGCATTTGCATGTCAGACTTACCCCTGAGGATCTGATACAAAAAGACCTTGATATGATCGGAACTGAGCGGTTGTGGAGAAACGATTACTTTGTGAAGGTCACTTTGCATCAATTCAGTGATAACATAACTGATGGTCATTGTTAAGGAGGGTGATGGGGAATGGAGGTCATCTGAATACCCAGCTCTTCCCATTGTAAATAAAAACGAAAAATTACTTTTCCACCATTTTATAAAACCAACAGGTTCCAACAGAATTAGGAGGCACAAATTTCAAAGGGCATGGACAAAGTAAAATAAAAAATAAACAAGAAAGAAAGAAAATTATTATACAGATCAGCCATCCCTAACCTATTACTCTATACATGGGCTGGGATGTCAATTTGCATCAATTTTGGAGAACACAAAACTAAAGGAAGACTGGCATAAATCAAAAAGAACTAGAAAACATGAAAAGCATCTCCAAAACAGAACAATGCAGATAATTGAGACAAGAAACACATGTGAGAATGGACTAAATGTAACTATTACTACGAATTTTTAAAAATCAGTATGAAAACTCCTTATCATAGTTGCAAGGAAACTAAAACAAGACAAAAGTGAAGATAAAATAAGCATAAGAAATCTTTTCTAGTATTAGATACCACTGCACAATCTCAAGATGAGGTATTTCCTACCCACAAATGACACTCAAATTTTATGAATTTTTGACAATCTCACCACATACTCTAATGGAGGACTGTGAAAAGATTAGAGTATTCTTAACAATTAAAACAACAACAACAACAATCAAGCAGTGATACCTGATGTAGTGGCTTCTGTGAGCATTGATATTTGCAAGCCACCCAGAATTGTTTGTTAATGAGATGAACAGCATATAAATTGAACCAATAAACGTAACAAATTTTTGTTGTTGACTGCTGACGTTAAAAGAATAGAATCATAACCTTTAGTAATAAATAGAAAAGGAGAGAGGAAGTGAAGTTGAGCAGAAACATTACCGTAAGATATGACAGTCCTATCAAGGTGCTGCAACATAGACACATAGAGATGAGGCAGGGACAATTAGACCATTACAACAGAATATTTGTAGTTCAAAACTGAATCGTGGAATCATTGATGCTCTCTGAGCTTGAAAACAGAGCTTGGTGCTCTCTGAGCAAATAACCAAGCTCAAACAACATCAAGGATTCCACTGTGAGACCATCCCTGACCATCCATTCTCATTACTCTTCATTATATAGAAAGCAAGCATCTCAGTCTCCAGTATGATATCCATACCCCACAGGCCTTGATGTCCATCAGGTTCCATGCCCACCTCAAATTCTGTTAGATTCATGTACTTACTATCCAAAGAAATTAAACTGGAAGCTAGCAGGCTCCAGAACAAAGTCCTACCATAGTTTCTAAGAAAGCCTCTGGGTCCTCTACCAGACCTCAAGAGGCTCATAGTAGAGGAAGGCCTTGATGTAATGCTTTATGGGAAGATTGTTCAGCTGCCCACACACAACAGAGGAACTTAGACTGGTGTAGAACATCTTCAAAGTTTTGAAAGAATGAAGGGAGAGCAGCTTCCCCTGCTTGCCTTTGTGTAAACAAGGGGCCCTCTATGCCAGCTATTGAAAGACTTAAAATAGAAAGTGTACCTATCGGTATCCAAAGGCTGTGGACATCTGGCTTAGAGGAGTGAGCATTCAGATTCCCTAGCATTTTCAATCCCATAGAAAAACCTACCTTGAATATTATGCTGCAGTTGACCTCAAAGACTGGAGCAAAGCTAGTGAACCATTCAATCATTTTCAGATGAGTAAATATTGCATACAAATTGGGGCAAGATAAACTTGGATCATTTGAAAATAGCTGAAACAGGCTGAGAAATTTGGCAAGGAACGGTGGCAAGGACAACCTCAAAAAAGTACAAAATAATTGCATGAAAAAAATAACGGGGGGAAATCCAACACAGTACATAAATGAAGGAAATTTTAAAAAGGCGAGAAGAGAAAAATCAAACCAAACCAAACACAAATATACTAAAGGAAAAAAAAGGATCAAACCAGACTTAAGAAAAGCAAGAATAATCAAGAAATATTTCACTTCCTCTCCTCACATGTAACATGTAGTGAGGGGGGGAAAAGCAACGAAACATAAAGATAGCACAAAATGGAACATCAGAAGAGTAGGGAAAATAATAAGAAAATAACTTAGCTACAGGTGGAATGAAGGATACATTTCCTCAAAACAGTCAATTTGTGGAGGTTGGAGGATATCCAGTGCTGAGAGGACCTGAAGAGAAAAAGAAACCAAATTCTGAAAATACAAGTAGTTCTCAACTTACAACAGTTTATTTAATGACTGTTCAAAGTTACTTCACTGAAAAAAAATGACTTATGACTATTTTTCAATTTATGACCTTTGTAGCATTACCATGGCTATGTGATTTACATTCGGATGCTTGACAACTGATTCATATTTATGACGGTTGCAGTGTCCTGGAGTCATGCGACCGCCTTTTGCAACCCTCTGACAAGCAAAGTCAACAGGGAAGCCAGATTCACTTAACAACCGTGGTACAAATTTAGCCTCTGTAGTGATTCGCTTAACAAATGTGGCAAGAAAAGTCGTAAAATTGGGCAAAACTCACTTAACAACATAAATGTTGGGCTCAATTGTGGTCATAAGTTGACGACTACCTGTATACTATCACAAATAAGAAACCAGTGATGGGACCCAACAGCTATACTGTAATATGGTGTTTTGGTGTGACAAGCTATCAAGCCTAATGTATCACTCGCCCCCTCCTAGTAATAAAAATAGGACAACAGCAACTAATAATGTAGCTACTCGGAAACAGGACTGAAACTTAGCTGGTAAGAGCAGCCTGCAGAGTTTGTCTAATAATAGGGTCGGCCCTGCCACCCACACCTGCAATGACTCTATCAATACAAGGGACCCTTCATCAAACGTCCTTCTTTCCTACACATCATCAGTTTGTACGCATTCCTGAGGTAAAACTGCCCTTTCCCAGCTTCTTCACACCAGGGAGCAAGGCCACCATTAATTCTGGCCTACTCCATTCAGAGCTTGAGTTACAAGGCCCTGCCTGGATCAAGAGGACCAGGAGAGGCCATCTCCTTCTACTGCTTCTCACCAAATTATATCGCTCTAATGCTTTTCTTCTTGTCCATTCCTGTTCAACTGCCCAATAAAGAAGCTTGTGGAAATCCAACATTCTGGAGTCGCTTTTGGGATATGAGTTGAACTGCATGGTTTCACTGACTTGAATAAAAAACATATCCAGTGTCACTATATGTGTGATCAACTGCTCTTGTTGCTGCCTCTCCACTATAATCTGCCTGGAGTCACCACTTTATACTTATTTAATCAAATGTTGAAACCGATAAAAAATATTTGTAGCTCACACTGCAACTGTGGGGTCCATGGTGCTCTCTGAGCTTGGTTGCTTTCTTGCAGATGTTTCATTACCCAACTAGGTAACATCATCAGATGTTATCTGATCATTGTGATGATGTTACCTAGTTGAGGAATGTCATAATCTTAGAATCATAAGGCTGGAAGGGACCTTAGAGATCATTTAGTCCAACCCCCTGCCCAAGGCAAGAGATCTTATACCATCTCAGAATGAAACGTTTGCAAGAAGACAACCAAGCACTATTTTGAAACCGCTTATTTTTCTCGCAGAGGGACTCTGGGCAGTGTACATATTATTAGAATGTAAAAATGGTATATAAAATGTTAAAAATCCTAAAAGAAGCAAGAATGATTGAAAAATCAAGATATGCCTACACAGTTCCACAATGCACATTCCTAAACCTGAGAAAACCTAACCCAAATCCAGGGTGCTATGGAAGGAAGGGCCACCTCTGGCCCCGAAGCAGCTCCGCACACTGTTCCACACTCACATTGTCATGCTTGAAGTAACAGAGCATTCTCAATTCTCTGAAGACCCGTTTGCAAGAGACCAAGTTCTGGAAAACATTGGGCATCTTTTTGAGTGCAACTCGCGACCCATCCCGAGGATCTGTCACAGACCTGCAGGAAGAAAAATATCTTTCCACTTACAATTTACTTTTAGGTGGTTAGAAAGGCTAGACCAGAGAAAGGAAGCAACCATAATGTAATTTTAGAGAGAGGACAAAGATAAATGCATTTTAAGATCTTGGAAAACAATTTTACTTTTTCCCCCCTATTTTCTTTCCCCATTTCCTTTATTTTACAATGCATTATTTTTCTCTATTTCTTCTCTAAAATGTGTACTGTTTTTATCCTAAAAATCTCTTTAATAAAAAAATATTTTTAAACACCCAATTATGATTTATAGGTAGTCCTTGTTTAGGGACTGTTCGAAGTTACAAAAGCGCTGAAAAAAGTTACTTATGACCAATCCTCGCACTTATGAGTGTTGCAGCACCCCCATGGTCATGTGATCAAACTTCAGGCACCTGGTAACCAATTTGCATTTACAATGGTTGCAGTGTCCCAGGGTCATGTGATCATCCCATGCAACCTTCCCAGCTGACTTCTGATAAGCAAAGCCAATGCAGGAAACCAGATTTGCTTAACAACTCCATAATTCACTTAACAACCAGGAAAAAAAACTTGAGAAATCAGGTGGTTACTCTCTTAACAACCATTTTGATTAGCAATGGAAATCCTGGATCGAATTGGGATTGTAACTACCTGTACTTCCAATCCTTTTCCTGTCTCCACCTTCATCCTTCTCTATCGTTATATGGCAGTAAATAACTCCGCACTCACCATACCACACCAAAAGCACCATAACCGATGGGTCGATCTGGTTCTGGGTCCACCATCATCGCATTGCCAAGCGTTGTCTGCTGTTGCTGGGGGGGACCTATCTGTACCCCATTATTGCAATAATATTTCTGGCCCCCACCTAGCCCAGCAGCTAAAGGTGGCTGGATTAACCCCGTCAATGCCCCAAAAACATTGCTACAAAGCTGAGCTTGAAGTGGATGGTTGGGGTCTTGGAAAGCCATCAGACAAATTAGGTGGGTGGAAGAGACACTGATTTTGGACAAGACTGCAAGAGGAGCAAAACAGCCCTCTGGAATTCAAATCAGTTGTGGTTTGCAAAAGTGAGATTTGAGAAATATTCAGCGGAAAATACCTGGCTTATTAGGGCAAATCTCACCAGCAAAATAAACGCATGCAAAATTGTGTGCTCCAGCAAAGGAGTGTCTTTATACGAGTACAGTAATATTTTTTTCCCTTAAGGTTTTTAAAAAAATCTTAAAAAGAAAAGAGGTATCTTGGCTTATTTTAAATTTATAGCAGAGTAAATTATATTTTGGGATAGTCTGATATGGTGGTTTTTTTTAGGGATTGTGTACACCTTGTCTGAAAGTGGGGGTGACAGAGCAACTGATGACCATCAGTTCTCTAACCAAATCTCTGATGTGGGAGACATCAGTGAATGATTTCTAAGAAGGTGCGTTTTTGACAGAATGCACAGAAAAAATTGGAATATTGTACTTACATTAAACAAAAAGAGAATGACTAAAGAATAGATGTGAAGGCTCGAAAATCTATAGGAAAAGAGCAGAAATGTTGTATAACATCTTTCTCTTAATAGGTGAGCTTTGTGGAACCACAAGACATTTAAACAGGGTTTCTGGGATTACGTTAATTTAAAAAAAATATTGAATAGAGAACAAAGCACTGAGATTTTATCTCACCACATAACCAAGATATGGATGGAAATCCCAGGCTCTACTGAAATATCAAGAGGCCTAAAAAAATTGGGGAATCTTATCCACAGGTCAGGAAATGCAAGCTACAATTAGAGGCTGAGGCGCAAGGGAGGCACTCTCTAGATAAATGGAAGTTTGGGAAGAGCACTTCACGAATTGGAAAATGAGGTCTATTGCCTTTCTAGCGAGGTGTGAAAATGCTGGGTGGGGGCGCTCACTACAAAATATTAGAAGGGTTTCTGTGACCCAAAAGGCCCAAGGTTGCAAAAATATCCCCTTCCAACAGGATGGAAAACCTCAAATGAGGATGTGGTGGAACTATGCAAGAAGAGCTGCCATCTGAACCACACAGCCTTAACTCACAGGTGCCCTTTGGGGAAAGTTTCTCAACAAACAAAAGGAGGGGGCTTTCCCAATAAAAAAGGGGGGTGCAGGGAAAGCAGCTATCTTGGCAACCAGCCCTATTAGGCTACAGGAAGCTGTGATCAAATCTGGAGGTATGAAAAAAAAAAACACCACCCACAACAAGAGGGGCAACAGATTGGAAGAAGGATGCCTGGATAACTGTGGAGGTGAAGTTTAGGGGTTCAGGATCTGCAAAGTGGGGGAGAGAATAAACAGGGTGCAAAGGGAGACCCAAAGGTGCTTTGAGAGACAGATCTTGGGGTGCTCTCAACTTTTCTTCCCCAGGCAGGCAAAGAGACCCAATCCTCAGCCCAAGAAGGGTCCTAGTGATGGGCCGGCCCCTCTATGGCAGCGGGGGGGAAGGTGGGGGCGCCCATGGTGCGGAAGGGGGTCCTTCCCCCACCCGCCCCCCCGGGTGGGCTTCGCAGCGTCTCAGCAAGGCATGGGGGCGAGGGTGGGGGCGCTGCGGTCGGAGACAAAAGGGGATCCCTGGGACGCAGACGCGCCAAGCACCCCCACTTCCCCGGCAGACGTGCAAACCCCGATCAAGCAGGAGCTGGAAGAGAAACAGCAGCGGCGGCCGAGGCGGCGACGGCAGGAGAGGCGAAAGCTGGGTGCCTGGCGGGGTCTTTTGTTAGAGGCACCGCGGGTCCATCTTTACGGGCTGGAGGAAGGAAGGAAGGCAGGAAGGCAGGAACCAGGCAGGAAGGAAAAAGCAAGCTGCGTGCGAGGGCAAGCGACGCCGGCGGACCCCATCTACTGGCCGCGGGGAGAGAGGCAGGCGGGCCATGGGTTGCGGGGAGCAGGCAGGAGGAAGCCAGCCCGGGGCGCCAAGGGATTAAAACGGCTCCGAAAGGGGAAAAACCAAGCGGCTTTGCAAATGTGGCCAAACAATACGTGCCTTTAGAACTGGAAAAACAGCTCTAAAGCTTTGAGGTAGGAAAAAAAGGGGGGAAACACGATTTCTAGATTTGGGGATGAAAGGAGAGGTTGGATTTTTGCAAAGCTGAAGAGGGAGGGAGGTGTTTGCTGATAATTGTTGAAAAGAGGGCCGGGAGCACAGTAACTTTTTTTTTCTTCTGATGAGTAATTCTTTAATAAAAGTTAGTCTTTTTCTCCCTGTTTTTCTTCCTGCGCTTGCCCTTGTTTTGATTTTTCTTGGCATATTTTATATCAGTCTTTGGGCTGGGTGGAAACTTAATAAAATTTTTGCAAAACCAAACCCCAGAAAATAAAAATTAAAAATACACCTGGCCTGACAAGGAAGAGGAAGGAAAAGTGGACGCAGAGACGAAAGGGGGGAAAAAATTAAGGAGAGGAAAGAAGAGCAAGGAGCGTGTTGTTTTTTTATTGTTTATTATTGTTTTGCACCAGTTTTGTTCCTGGCAAGGAACTTGCTTTGGCGGAGAGGAGAGGGGGGAGAAGTTGGTTAAAACCCACAGGTCTTAAAAGTTGACAAGTTTGAGAAACACAGATCTATTTAATATTTTTTCTTCGGTTTGTGCTAATAAGCCAAGCACAGAATAAAGGAACAGAATAAAGTTGCCAGATGTAAATGCTAGGCTTGGTTTTAAACGGCAGCTTGCTGAACAAGTCCCAGCACCTCACTACAGGTAGTCCTCAACCATTTGTTTAGTGACCGTTTGAAGTTAAAACAGTACTGAAAAAGGTGACTTACAACCTGTCCTCACACTTAAGGACCATTGCAGCAACCCACTGTTATTAAAATTCAGGCACTTGGCAACCAGTATGAATTTAAATGGCTGCAGTATCCCAGGGTCATATAATTGCCATTTGCAACCTTATTTATTTATTTATTTATTTGATTTGCCAATTGTTTACAAGATAATAAGTATAAGCGTATACATAGTTGTGAATACATGAAATGGGTACATATAAGAAAAATAAAAGAATAAGAGAAACAATAGGACAGGGACGGTAGGCACGTTGGTGCGCTTATGCACGCCCCCTACAGACCTCTTAGGAAGAGGGTGAGGTCAATAGTAGACAGTCTAAGGTTAAAGTTTTTGGGGTTTGGGGAAGAGACTACAGAGTCGGGTAGAGTATTCCAGACGTTGACCACTCTGTTGCTGAAGTCGTATTTCCTGCAATCAAGTATTTCCTGCAATCAAGACCTTGCCAGCCACTTGTGACTGGCAGAGTCAAGGGGTAGAAGCTGGGTTCACTTAACGACTGCAGGCTTCATTTAAGAACTGAATGATTTCCTTGTCAAAAGAAATTGGGTGTGATTCACTTAACTGCCTTGTTTAGCAATGGAAGCTTTTGTCCCAATATGGTCATAAAGATTACCAGTAGTTGAGAAAGTTAAGCAATAGGGTTGGCCATCAGTGGTTACCAATGTATTCACAAATACTTCTATTTTTGGATGTTCAGTCTTGTAAAACTAGTTCCTTCAACAACAACAAAAAACCTCCCAATGTCCAGACCCACCCTTTCCCTTATGTGAAATTTCTACTTGCAAGGTTTAAAAATAATAATAGATTTCTCAACATTTGTCTGTACAAGTCAGAAGAGTGGCCAACCATTCTTCTCTACAAGCTTCTCCCAAAAATTCAGTCTTTTCACCCACACGCAAAGTTTGCACCAGGTTGGGGCTGAATCCAGAGAGCTGAATTCAGAGCTGAGACGTCGCTTGCGCATAAATGCAGCACAAATATGCCATGGATGTATCTCATCCTCGGCCCACTGATGTGCCAGGCTTAAATGATCTTACATTGTTTTGTTTTAAAGTCACTTTTTTTTTCATTTAGAGCATGGTTTCCCAACCTTGACAACTTTGAGATGTGTGGACTTCCAACTCCCAGAATTCCCTAGCCAGCCGTGGGAGCTGAAATCCATGCATCTTAGCATGGTTGCAAAACCCGGCCTTACAGAGCCAGTTTGGTATAGTGGTTAAGGCAGACTTCTCCAGGCAATTGCCGGGCATCAGTGCTGGTTTTAAAGCATCAATCAATCAATATTTCTCCCTTAAGACGTTTAAGGATGTGGAAAACTTGGTGCGCTTCCCTGTTCTTTCATTGCAATATGATGATTTGCAGAGAGTGGGGAAAGCTACTTCCCCACCCCCCCACCCCTTCACGAAAGAGCAGCCACAGCCGTGGGCTGCTATTTGCCTTAGGAGAAACTAGATATTTGAAAGAACTCTGAGTTTGATATCAAACCAAGCTGGCTTTCATTGGATGGTAAAGTGAGAGAGGTGGGGCTACCATGTTTGGAGAGAGCCAGCTGTCCCAATTTATTATGCAACAGCCTCAAGCCAATGATCAGCTATTTGGTGAGGTTTTCAGGCTTTATGGGGGCTTCCGTCTCTTTTTTTTCCCCAGCAGTTCTCCTTGATTGATAGGTTTGGTCTTCCTGTTGGATGGCTCAGTTGGACAGGCACTGTGATCATCTGTCAAAACTCATCGCTTGCCCAAGCTCTGCTCCTGCCCTGTCTCCCTTTCATTATTCTATTGGCAGATGGTTGGCAATGGCTGGTGGCATTGATTGATTGAATATCTCTGCCGTCAAGTCATTGTCAATGTTTAGCAGCTACATGGGTAGATTTTCTCCGTGATTTTTGCACATACAAAAGAAGATAATGCTGTTCAGTGGCAAATCAAAACAGAGGCTATACAGTACAGGTAGTCCACTACTTACAACAGTTTATTTAGTGATTGTTCAAAGTTACAACAGCACTAAAAAGAGTTATAACTGTGTTTCACACTTAGGGCCATTGCAGTACCCCTCCCCCCATAGTCATGTGATCAAAATTCAGATGCTTAGCAATTGATTTGTATTTATGACAGGTTTCAGTGTACCTGGGTCATGTGAATTTGTGACCTTCTGACAAGCAAAGTCTGTGGGGAAGCCAGATTCATTTAATAGCCATGTTACTAACTTAGCAGCAGTGATTCTGTTCTGACCCAAACCTTGTTCCAAGGAAACAAACATGAAGGAACGGAATTCGCAAAACCTTTTAATGATTCTTTACGAATTCTGTTCCTTCACGGTTAAAAGGCTGTTTCAAACTAATTATCTCTGATAAGAACGAGCCTTACCAAGGTTGTGCAAAGCTGCCAAGAATACTAGATAAAGTTACTAAGAAATACTTCAAATACAAAGAGTCTCCAAACATCCGATATTTCGAACATCCATAAGGTTTGAGTGCAAAAACTTCTTTGCTTCCTGCAAAGAACTCTGGTTTCTCAGCTGGCTTTTATCTCTTAAGGGAGGGGCCATTACCTTGCAGCCTTACTCCTGAGTCGTCTGTGCTGCTGCAGCTGCTCTTTCCTTCCAGCCCTGGATGCACGCGCACTGGGCACAGGCTCCTCGGGGACTTCTTCATCACTGCTGCCAGCCTCCACAGGCAGCATTCCACTCCGATGGTCCTGGCCCCATCCCTGCATCACACGCAGGTCCCTCACCTGACTCCTTACTCTCTTAGACCTCAGCCGTCTGCACTTGCTGCCAGCAAACCACAACAGATTCACTTACCAAATGTGGCACAGAAGTTCGTAAAATGGGGGCAAAATTAACAAATGTTTCACTTGGTAACAATTTTGGGTTCAATTGTGGTCGTAAATCTACCTGTACAGGAACTCTTCGACTTACAACTATTCACTTAGTGACTTTGAAATTACAGTGAAACTGAAAAAAAACTTGAGTTACACCTGATTCTCATACTTACGACCGTATCACTGTCCCCCACAGTCACACTTGGCAACTGGCATTATTTATGATCATGGTAGCATCTAGGATGATGTGATTGGCATTTTCAACTTTCCCAGCCAGCTTCCAATAATAAACTCAATGGGGAAGCTGGAGTCACTTAACCAATAGCATACTTTGTTTAACTATCATAGTGATTTGTTTAATGACTGCAGGGAAAAAGTCAAGAAATCTTGCACAACTAATTTAATTACTGCCTTGTTTAGCAACAGAAATCCCAGCTCCTTTTTTGGGTCAAAACAAACTGTAGATCAAAAGTAGGAATTGGAGATAAAAAATAGCAATTGTTATGACGAAATAGTTTTCTGCCAATTCAAACTCAGGAAGTTAACTGAGGAGTAAGATAAAGGTAAAAGGTAAGAGAGCCCCTGAGGATTTAACTTCACTAGTTGTTGCCAACTGTAGGGGGTAGTGCTCATCTCTGTTTCAATACCATTAGGCCAGTGCTGTCTGAAGACGTTTCCATGGTCACCAGCATGACATCCCGAACCATTGTTATCTTCCCACCAAAGTAGTACCTATTTATCTATTCACATTTACATGCTTTCGAACTGCTAAGGTTGGCAGGAGCTGGGCAAGAATGGGAGCTCACCCCGTCGCCTGACCCTCGGGTCTCGAACCTGGGTTGCCAGCTCTCCAGCCCACAAGCCCAGCATCTTAACCACTGAGCCACTGCACCGGCCCAAAATGAGGAAAGGCCCCAGATTTCTATAGACTGGGTGGGCTATTCTGATCCTGGCATTGTTATACAGAGAGATGTATACAGGTAGCCCTCAACTTACAACAGTTCATTTAGTGACCATTCAAAGTTACAATGGCACTGAACAAAGTGACTTATGACTATGCACAGAAATGGAAAGTCCACCTCAATCCCCACAAAGGATGATGAATGGCTGCAAAAACTGACAGAGTTAGTAGAGGTGGCTAAATTGACTGTTTTGATTAAAGAAAAAC